AGATTAAAAGCAGGCAGATCTTGACCTGCATTCACACACATCAAGTACCTCTTTTGTCAGCTTTCTATTCAATTGCAGGTACTGTACCTTAAAGGTGTTGTTTACTTGCTTAGAAAAGACACACATTTGAACTGTGTAGCGTATGTGAAGTCTACACTAATTTAATATAAAAGGACTGAGTAGCTCAGGCTTTATGTTATGTGAAGACTTTTAGCTTCTAAACCTGGAATTGATCTTTGAGGTTGTAATTTGCTCTTATTTTAGTGCAGTTTACATTAGCATTTTGTTAGTAAAGATACTAAAATACAAGAAGCATGCAACTTATCCTATATTTTTTCATTTGAAATGCTAACAGAGTTGGGCTTTGTTTTGTTCCAGCTGATGGATGAGATGACAGTTTATTTTTGTTACTAAAAAAGCCTTAAAAAGAAAAATGTGCTAAATGATATTACCAATACAATTTTTATTTCAATGTTTGTGAATGCAAACAATTTGTTCAAATAAGTTAGTTAATAAATTAATAAATAAACCAAAGAATTAATGCTGACCAATAAGGTGTCTTACAGAAAGCAGATGACTTCAGATTGCTGAAGATATTTAGAAAACTAAGAATTTCTATATAATTACACTTCATTTTTTCAATACATGCCAATCAGTGTGCTAAATGCTAACAGACAAAATGTTATCATTAAGGTCATGAGAAATACCCTTAAGGAGTGCATCTGTTTCTGAGACAAAGCTCTGTGGCAAATTGGCAGCAAGTTGGGGGAAAAAGCCTTCACGTTTCAGATTTCGGACTCAAGAATACGACTGGGTGCAAAGGCAGGATAGCTGTTTGGTATGAGGTTTTTAATGAGGAGAATATAGATATGGACAGTGATTGGGAAGGTTTGCATGTGATAGAACAGTTCAGTGTCTGGAGAGATAGACTGTATATAGAGGATGTTTAAGTGTTTTCACATGTACGGAAAGAAAATTGTATGATGTGTTGGAACGGAAAGCCTACATATAATATAACAGAATAACCATGCTAACAACTTGTCTGAATATTTCAGATGGTAGTTATATAACACATAGATGCCAATCAGTGTGCATATGTAGTACCTTTTCAGAGTACGCAAAAGCCATCTCATTAGCTCTTACTGTAATGCCTGCTCCTAATTATCTTTAGTAATTAAATACCCATACTGAGTTTGGCAAAAGAGAAATCTTTTCTTATTTATAAGTATATAAATTAGAAGGAATATTAATTGAATTCCTTCCCCTGAAAAACTTGCTTACTGTTTGATATTTTTTTAGCTTTAGCAGTTTTGGCTCATTTACAAAATTTAGTTGTGCAAAATAAGTTAAAAAACTAAAAGCTTTGATCATTCTTATATGTCACAGCGGATTTTCCGATGTATTTGAATATATTGCTTACGTTGTGTTTAGTTTTTCTTAAAGCAGTTTAAGACTCCTAAACAAGGTAAGATAAAGACTTGCATCAGGTCACATCTGCCTCCAGATGTTTCTGACAAAGTGACTTTGGAATTATCCAAAAGCTTTCCATTAAGACAGATCAGCTACCCTCAAACCATGAGTTAGTGATTCTTTCACAAGTACAAATGTACAAGCACTCTTTATTTTTTAAATAGAAAAATGCAATTTCAGTCCTTGGGAGATTTGAAAAGCTGTATCTGTTTTTTCAGTCCACTTGCCAGAGATTTTGCAGAGTGGTTTTCAAGTCTTTCAGGTGGAATCATGAGAGGTTTCAGTAACAGCTAACAGTGATAACACTTGATGGGCCAGACTCAGATATGTTAGATCACAATGACCAATTATGGCTAAGTCAGTGTCAGTGCTGAAAGTTTGTGATCGTGTTATGTAGGTAATTTAGCCTTTGTTCTGTGCCTGATTATACTTGGTTGCTGCTGGGGTACTTTCACATAATTTAACACTGAGCATGATCTTACTATTGACATCTTCCCTGAAAAAAAATCTATAAAGGCTTTAAAGCCGGGTCCTGTCCTTCTTAGGGAATTCAGTTAGGGTCCATGGTTTATCTTGCCCTACACAATGAGTACAATTCAGGCCAGAAAGGAGCTAAATAACACAGACATCCAAGAACAGCTATGAAGACATTCTGTACTTCACGGGCAGTCTGAAAGACAAATATATATATACAGTATATACAATTCAGAAGAAAAGAGAGGGTCTATTTTTCTTTCTGATAACACCACTGCTCAGTTAATTACCTAACTACTGATTTTTATCACGTACACAATGTTTCTTAGGTGTTCTTTATTAGGTTTATTGTGGCTCTATGATAATATCAGTGCAGTTGCTGGAGCTGTCAGCGGGATGTTCGTGCAGACTCAGATTGGGAACTACAGTGGGTTTATCCACGGAAAAGGATGTTTCAAATCCGGAGAAAATGCCCGAAGAATCCCCATCGCCTAAATTTAGCAGGACCCCGTGCTGTTTAAATCAGCTATGCTTTTTATTTTTAAAAGATTCAGATATTCTCTCTCCTTTTCAGTTCTGCCCTCAACTGTGTTCAATTATAGGGAAGACTCGAGGAAATATGTTTCTCCATTAGCTTGGTATACAACAGAGAAAGGGGAGTTGTAGCTTACAAAGAGAGTGTTTTTTGCTTAAACTGAATTCTTCGGAGAATTGTATCATGAGTTGCAGAATTAGGGAACTGTACATCTTTGAGGTTTTTTTTTATATGCCTGTGCACACAACAGAAATGATATCAAGTTTCTCAACCGTCTGTGAAAAACTGGAGGAAAAAAGATTGCTGTGTCTTTAAGCCATCCTCGTGCCTAATGAAAAAAATAAGTTCTAAGGGGCTCTGATCTTGTGTTTTAGTAAAATAGAACTCTACGGCTGAGTGACAGCTCTGATCTAAAGCATTTAAGTGTAAGTTTTGATCTCTCTGCCTTTGATTAAAACTAATGAGCTCATTTAATTCAAAATGGGAATCTCTGATAAGAGAAATAAGGTTGATGTGATTGGATTAGAGGGGCGAATTAAACTCTTAGAGCTGAAGTTTGTGCTTATATAGTGTATTAAAAAGCTGTTGGCGTATTCTGCTGTGTTAGATGATGAGAAAAATTTCATAGTAATTCATATTTAATCAGAAGAAATGAAATGACTAAATATAACATGGCTCGGCTTTTCCCTAGAGTGATAAAGGACTAGTTAGATTTTAAATGACATTTAATTCATGTCCTCAGAAACAAAAAAACTCATAAAAGATATCGCAGGGGGGTGATGTCCCCACTTTCAAGTGTATTGTTTCCAGAGAAGAGTGAAAGTCACAGCAGTCTTGTAATATGCAGAATAGTACGAAACAGGATTTTGCAGGTGCCTTCATCATAATCCTGTTTTCGGTTCCATCTCCTTCCCTTGTCCAGAATCTCCTCGGTCTCACAGTAAAGGGTAAAGGAATTCTCCTGAAAGGAAGACAACATCAGCACTTTCTCTGGCTGATTGGTATAAGAGACTTCAAATCGCACTTTTGGGACAGTGCATGCTACCAATTATTTTACGTTGTTCTGTGTGTGTGTGGTGTTTTTATTTATTGATAACCTATCTGGGTTACAAATATATGTACTGTATGTAGAGTATCAGTCTTCCTGTTACTCTGGTGTGCTGTTTATATTGAAAGATGTAAGAAAGGTCAAACATTTTCGTCTGGCCTTAAACAAGGAACTTTCTGCTTTTATGCCTTAAATGCAAAGCATTTTTAAGCTCTTTTTTTAAATGAATGCAGAATTTATTAATGTCCTCTTCTGTAGTACTAAATACTCTTTATGTGAAGGATCTTTTAAGTTGGAGATTAGTTTTAAAGAAGGTTCAGAAAAGTGAGACTGCAGTTAAGTCTTGCTTTGCGAGCTGGAAGGAGCAGAGCTCTTTGGGCAGTTCCCTCTAGATCTTGAGGTGCCAGGTCCTGAAGGGCAGACCTTGGGGAGGAAAACACACACCAAACAGAGATTTGTAAAGCGTCTTGCCTGGCAACAAATCATTCACCCCTTCTCTGAAAATCGCATTAAAAATTACAAATCTAGTAAGAGGCAAATCATAAATGAGAAGGAGGAGTATAATCAATTTTTTCAAGTAGTATATTTAACACTAGACACGTTAGCAAATGGGTTTGATGAAAATCTGACTAGACACTCTCAGAAAATGAAATACATGCTGGCCAGGAGTATTCTGGGTCATGCAAAATATCAGGCTGGTGACTACAGTATCCTTAGGGTTCATGGAATATATTTGATATTATCTTCAGATTAACAGCTCCCAATTAGAAAATGTGTTTAGGAATGTTGATATAGAAATTTGACATCAACCACCTGACCAAAGGATGAGGTGGATGGTGCCCCCCTGCAGAATGAGAAGGGGGAACCAGGAAGCAGCCACACAGGTGGAGAAGTGGGGGAGGAGGGATGCAGACAGACGAGCACAAGGAAGAGAGAGGCTTTTCAGGACGTGACATCGTAGAGAATTACGGGTTAAAGTGGCAGCTGTGAACTTGGTTCCTCCCGAATGTTTGTTTTAAACTCCATTAATGATTTAATTAAAACAAGTATAATTCAGTAAAAACAAAGGCATGTAAAAAATTATGGTTTGTATTCGTTTGACTCATTGTGCAATTCTGGACTTTTGGAAATCAATGCAGTAGCACTTTCTTTACTTTCACCTTTCTTCAGAGTTGGGATAACTTTGTGTGTTTCCATGTTCTGCATGAAAAGTTCAGAAAGATTGCCATAACAGGCAGAAAGCGGCATAGCTTGTGTGTCCTCATTAGGTTTGTTTAAAATTTTCATGGCCATTGGTTGTTATTGAATTATATTTTTCTATTAAATGATTATCTAGAGAAAATAGAAACTCAATGAGAAGTTATTGCAAGTCTCCTAACTGAATGTATTTTTAATATCAGCCATCTCCTGGGTTTCCCCACACTAATATATAAAAGTATCGTTAACTAATTGAATTCTTGTTTGTTTTCACAGTGGAATCCACCAGCCCCAGTTTGCTAGCGCCTGACAATACCCTTGAGCGCTCCTTCTTTATACGAATGAAATCCACACTGACCAAGAGGGGTGTCCATATCAAATCATCTGGATATAAGGTACACAAGACCCCACTTTGCTGTTGTCATTTGTATTCATTACCATTCACATTAAAAAAATACCCGTGACCTTACCTGCAACGAAAGAATTGTCTCATAAACAAACAAGCCTCCCATCTCATTGCAATGTGACTCATTTTGAGTTTAACAAAATGAAAGCTGACAATGTCATATCGTCATATATTTGGGATTATTTCATCCTATTAAAAATGTGTGCAAAAATCGCAAAGTGTTGCATTCATGGTACATATCCTGCTGATGGGTTTTGATTTCAGGTGGTTCTGCATTTACAGAATGTTTTGTTAATGCACATAGGTTCAATCCTCTATCCTGTTTTTTGAATAAATAATAATAAACATCTTTTCTCAATATGCATTGATTTGGTGCTATTCCGACTTCCGACTGAAGATTTCAAGTTTGGCATTTTATATCATATACTTAATGACCGTAGCATATCCTGCCAAATGAACCTTTGTCTCACTATACATTCACTGCCTGATCCTATTTCTGCATGTCAAAACTAGTTTGTATATTATAAATGCACTACGAGCAGCTGGCTGCATGTTCTGAAAGCATTCTGTTTGAAATGTGGTGCCTAGTGTCTATCTTTCTCCATCCTCCAGATTTCATTTAAACCAAGGGGGGAGAAAAAGCAACAACCAGACTAATCATGGTGTTCAACAGAGTGTGAAGATCGACAGTCATTTCCTTAAAGTACAATAAACCACTGCCATTGCAAATTAACCATTGCTGTTTTTACACGCAGTTGGCTGCTATTAAACCGCTCAGGGTAGCTGAAAAAAATAATATAAAGAAAGACATCTTTTGTACCAAAATCCCCTGATGAAAAATAACCCCCACCCCCCCACCCACCCCCAAGCTTTCCTCCGAATTAAGACAGATTGGAAAATATGCCTTCTGATAAACACCAAAAAGCTTCTGGCTTCTCGTTTTGCAATCTGTAAAACTACCAGCTTTATCACTGGTAAAAAATGTGATTGAAGTAGAATTTGAAAGTGGGGCTAGCAAGTCTCTTTCCTGCTGTTCCTTTCCCTTGAGGAAGATGTCCACAGCATTTTGCTAACTTTGAATTTAAAATACAGGTTAAAATGCAGGTGATCTTCTAGAAGGCAGCTAACAACTACATTGAATGTACAGTAGTTAAACAATTTAACTGAATGGCCCAACCTCTCTATTTTTAACTCTTTTAATGCTTTTTGTGTACTTTGCTTTTTGTTTTTTTATAAAACCAGGGTGAGTTTGCAGGCAGTTCTGCAAGTGACAGGTTTTGATATCATGTGTGAGCAGTGCTATGACCATACAAGCATTTTAGCTGAGGTGCAATTGTAGAGCATGTGTTACATACCCCAAGCCAGTCTCACATTGTAATGGAAAAGTGAGTGGAGAGAGAGGTTCTTTCCTCTTGGGATCTTGGACTCTCAAGTCTAGTTAGGATGAATGGTTTTCACTCACAATGTGAACTCCAGTTGTATAATACTGTACATCATAATAAGTTGAGTCTTTTATGTAACTTGAAACTTTTAATGGCTGTTAATGATCAAAAAGGCTCAATTCCCTCTCTTTTTATTCTTTATTCTTTTATTTTTGCCTATTTTGTTAAGCTGTTTTGAAAAAAAAAATAAGCTGAAATCTGAGTAATAAGGTGACCAATTGGGGGTTCCCTTTGACAACACGAGTTAAATGCATCCAGATTCTGACTTGGTTTGTTTCACCCGGTGTATCTGCTGCAGCTACCCGGACACACATTTCATGCAAATAAACAGGAAGACAGACAGGCTCCTGCTTCACATAAATATTCACACATGCCTGCACGCATACATCAACAAGCAGACAAGGACACTTCGTATTACATTTCTCTTTAAATAAAGTCAACACTTCTGCTGTTACATAATACAGTAATATAAATATTACATACAAAGGAAGATATTAGCTGCCTGGCGAAGACAGGAAGCGAAGCAACTGGGCTCATCAAGGATGCTTATATCACCATTCTACTCTGGAGGTCATATCAAAGAGAATTCCTCTCCAGCTTAAACCCATCTTTTTTAAACAGATCTCGGGCTGATCTCATTTAATGCACTCATGTAAAGGTTCTCAGTCATTATTTGTGCTGTATCACATTTCAAAAGCACTCCAGAGAATCCCTGGGAACTGATGAATCTTATTTCTTATGTATACCTATTCTATATTCACTCAGAAGGAAAGTGCATTGTGTGCTGAACCATGAATTATAAAAATTGATCCCTTTGTTATGTTGGTTTGTATTAAATTGAGATATGCTATTCGTCTGCTTTGTGTTGCCAGGCTCAACCTCCCTGTGTCAGTTTGCATTTAGCTGCTTGAGCATATTAATGTTTAGCCAGTGCTTATGATGTTTTTGCCAAGAGCACTCCTGTAGCAATATGCACCAGACTTCTCTTTGTGGCAATTACTTCAAAAAGTTGTCTTTTTAACTAACTTTTGATGCCTGTGGCTTTCAGATTCTACTGTGCTATTTCCATTTTGTATTTTTTTTTTGCTATTCTAATTTTAGTTTTTTTTTTCGAGTAAATATACTGATGCACAATCAGAACGCAAACGATTTATTCAGAAGCTCACTGGGCACATACATAATGTTATTTACATTTTAAATAGTGAGAAGATAGGAATTGTTCATTGTTTGAGAAGCATTATTCCTTGGGATAACAAAAACCTGAGCTCAAGTCATTTGATTTTTGTAAAAATGCCAGTTACTTAGTATTTGGTAGTTGAGTCAAGTTAAAATTGCCAAAATTAGTTAATCAAGAATCTGCTTAAATTGCCAAAAAAACATGATTTTAATTAATGCAAGAACAATGGAAGATAAGGCCATGCCTTGCGTACGTAATGAAGAGCTTTCAGTTTGATTGAAGTAGCCTGTCTGTGAGAGGCATTGCCCAGGGAATGAGATGTTCTGCTTCAGCAATCAGCAGACTAGTCCAGAGAAACTAGGATACCGGCTCTGAGAGGGGCTGACCATGTTCTGGAAGGCAGAGTGTCACCACTCTGGCCCAGGGCCATCACATCTATCTGCGTGATCTTTTCCAGACCAAGGTAGCTACAATGTGAGAAATTCCAGGCCGAAATAACTTTCGCATCAAGAGAATGACTGTAGATCTCCATCAGCATTGAAATGATCTGAGTTTGTTCGGCAGTGTTGTGACGCTCGCACTCACAATCGGCAACCAGGGGCATGGAGGAAGAGTGATGTCTTCTCCAGGAATCTCCAATAAAACAAGAACTCTTGTAGTGCAGATTTAGGGCACTAATTCTTGGCAAATCCCTTGAGCCAAATGTTTTTCTGTTGCTACAAGAAGAGGAAGCGTCCGTGTCCAGAAGTGTCAATTTTCCATAAGTGCATGACCACTGCGTGCTAGGATTACAATAGCACAGTTTCAAAAGTCCTGCCATTGTCAGCTTTTTCTCCTAATACCGTCAGAAAGTCTGTGGGACGAAGTTGCCAATGCCTTCAATGGAAGACAGTCAGGACCAGCCAGCCCTGTCTACAGTGGCACAGAACGGGTGGCAGAGTGTCCCACAGCAGTCTGTCCAGAGGCTGATCAGGTCTATGTGTCGGCATTGCCAGGGTGGTGTTAATGCTTAGGATGGTCATGCCCAATACTACTTAATTGCAATGTTTTCAATTTGACAGTGGGTCACATTCCACGATTAAAACATTAGCACTGAATGATTCTTTTTTATGTGTATTACTATCAGTAGTAGTAATATTTTTTAAATGCTTAATCATTTCCCTGATTAGAAATCCTAGATTTGCTCCCAGTCTGCCCCTAATGAAGCTGCATTTTGTGACACTTTGAAGCTGATGGAATTGTCTTTTCACATCAATCTGTGCTTGTCACATTCTTTCAAGAACTGGATATACAGCATATTTTAACCCTTGCTCAGCAATTCCTTAACCTCCACAGGGCATTAACTGTGTCAGCTGTATGTTACAGTTCATACATTTTTTTCTTCCCTTCCAACTTACCAGATTGCTGACAATATATTGCAACTATTACCAGATTTAGTGACTCACTTAATTTAGGAAACATTCCTTAAATAACTTTTTTAATTCAAAAGTTAATTGTGTTTTTTATTAAAATATTTTCTAGATTCTAGATAACTCTGTAAGATATGAATTTTAACTTTGCCCCTACTCAGTTTAAGAACCTGTTGTGTTTCATGAAATATTTCCTACTTGACAGGCAAAGGACATATGAAATTGCTTTAAAATTCATAAACAAAGGCAACATGATGTCTGTAGAACTATATCTGACATGGACAATCTTATAGATAAGTTGTGTTTGACGTTTTCAATTAATAGCATATGTATGTAGGCTAACAAGTGTTGTAGGTACCTCTAAATCTATAATTGTTCCTCTGCTGCATCTTCAGGACACAAAACTGTCACTTACTTATTCAAGACAGGGAGAATTCACAAGCAGCTTGCTTCAGGGCACAATTATTGGTGCCAAAAGCTCTCTCGATGTATTTTATTTACTGGAGTGATATCTGTGCAGTTGTGACAGCTAACAATGTCTTATAGATGTTATTTCCTCTTGTATTATTATAATGCCTTTTTACCAGTAGAACAGTATTATGTTAGCTTTTCTATTAAACGAGATTCAGATCTGAAAGACAATGAAAGCTAGATGTTTATTAAATTTAAGAGAGTAAAAAAATGTGCTTTTTAGGTGCTGCAACCATTTTAATAATAATAATTGCTTACACTCATATAGAGCTTTTCTGGACACTTCACTGAAAGCGCTTTACAGGTAATGGGGACTCCCCTCCACCACCACCAGTGTGCAGCATCCACCTGGATTATGTGACGGCAGCTATAATGCGCCAGAATGCTCACCACACATCAGCTATCAGTGGGGAGGAGAGCAGAGTAATGAAGCCACTTCAGAGATGAGGATTATTAGGAAGCCATGATTGGTAAGGGCCAATGGGAAATTTGGCCAGGACGCCGGGGTTACACCCCTACTCTTTTCGAGAAACACCCTGGGATTTTTAATGACTACAGAGAGTCAGGACCTCGGTTTTACGTCTCATCCGAAGGACGGCGCCTGTTTACAGTATAGTGTCCCCGTCACTATACTGGGGCATTAGGACCCACACAGATCGCAGGGTGAGCGCCCCCTGCTGGTCCCACTAACACCTCTTCCAGCAGCAGCCTTAGTTTTTCCCAGGAGGTCTCCCATCCAGGTACTGACCAGGCTCACACCTGCTGAGCTTCAGTGGGCTGCCAGCTGTGAGTTGCAGGGTGATATGGCTGCTGGCCATATCACTTTTCTTGTACTGTATACCACAAACTCTGTAGCTAGTGCCCCCCTTGTGTTCTGGAGAGGGGAATACATTGTTCAACACAGTGACCAAAGGGCTATGAGAGATTTTACTAGCAGTAGCTTGTAAATCAAAGACAATTCCCTATGTTTCTGCATAGTTTGAAGAGTATTGGTTGTTTGTGCCTGAGGAAATGGGTAGTATTTAAAGATTATCAGAGAGGAAAACCCCCTGCTTGTAAGAATATATTAATCAAAATAAGTTGGCCTTATTTTACAACGTGCCGAACTTTTAAATGGGAAAAGTTTTTTTTTTAATTCTGATAATGTTCTTTAATTACACACATATAAGGTTTATATCAATCTAATGGAGTAATTATTAGTCCTGACTGGAATTGCTTGATGGGGATAAAGATTAAAAAAACATCTAAAATGTGTGAATGAATTAGGTGTTATCTAATCAAAGTTTTCCCGGCCTATTACAGTCTTTCGTTCTTGGCAGACAGTCCGAGCCCGACCCGGTGGTGAAGCCGTCCCTCGTGAGAGCTGTCCCTTCCTGGTAACCGTGTGCTCAGCCCGTAGACAGCGGCCTGTTTCAGGCTTCGCGCCAGGGCTGACAGGCACATGGAGAGGCGCACCCTGGTGGCTGATGCCCCTCGGGGGGGTCCTGCAGGGCAGTGCTGAGTGGGCCGGGGCCGCTCTCCAATTCCCCTCTTCCCTTGGCAGGGCCTGATGGGATTGGTCCATCCCCAACAGGTTCCATTAAGAGCAAAAAAAAAAAAAAATAGCGCCGCTTGTATTTTCCCAACCTTGTGGGTGGCCATCGTTTTTTCCTACCCCATGTTGAAGAAGATTCATCCCTATTGTTCGCAAAAGGTTGCGGAGAGCCTGCTGAAGTGGTGAACCGCTGTCTTGAATCGAGACGCACACGGGCCCTGACCATGACCTGTGTCTCTGTGGCTCCCAGGAAGAGTAAAGCCAGTGGCACACTCTCCTGCTGCCACTTTGAGGGCCGTGTGCGGCCGTGCCCACTGAATCGTCAGGCAGCAGCTTGACAGTGCAAGGAGATACCTGTGCTGTGTGAGATAAAGGCAGCAGGAAGGAGCTGGTCATTGTTCATAGTGTATCTCATTACCCGACACTGCTCACACTTCTCCCCTTCAGAAGTGCTGCCACCTTAATGAGAGCTCTTTGAAGTAGTTAATTTCAGCATTTCATCAATAATAGTGAACTATTTTTGTGGTATTAACATGTTTTCTCTTCATTCTATCAGTTGCTGTACAGTTTAAGGGCCAGTGTCATTAGTTCAGAGGCTGAGAAGTTTTCTTTTGGTGGAGTACATCTGGAAATTCCCTTTGGGCTCAGCAGAGTGATTAAAATGGATGGATCTCAAAGTACAGTGTGCATATCAAGTCAATTCCTCCTCGGGGCAAAATAGAGCTACAAAGACTTTAAAGCTACGCAAAACTTTAAAGCTAGAAATAAGCAATTATGTCCTTCACTCTTTGCTATTGTATATCATTTCTGAGGGAAACACTGACAATGTGACACTTAAGGTAATGTTTCACTTACTGAGTTTGTTTTACAATATTTACTGGAACCCCAGCTTCATATTCCCCCAGAATATTAATTAACTGCCTTGCCATTCTGTGTCCGTTTTAGAGCAGGAGATTAATCCCAATCCATACAGTATATAAAGAGAAAGTTCAAACCTGTAAAATATTAAGGAAAGTCAAGCTAACAATACATTTAATCAGTGCATTAGCTCTAAGATACATGTTTCAAAGTACTCTAATTCACAGAAGTAATGCAGGCAAAAATATTTTTTTAATATTTTAATATCTTTATTATTAGTTATTGTATTTTTCTAAACCAGTACCTTTCATGTGAGTGTTTCTCTCCCCCCTTGAAAAAAAATGTTCCGCCTGCTTTTGCAAATGTGCAGAGTGCAGGTTGGGGTCTGTGGTCACGGGTTCGAGGTTGAGTCGTGTCGCTGGCCGGCTGTGACTGGGAGCCCCCCAGGTGGTGGCGCTCTTGGCCGTGCAACTGCGAGGGGGGGGGTGGCCTGGGCTCTCCTGGCCCTCGGCGATGCAGCTGCCCCCTCAAGGCCCCAGCCTCGAACCCAGGGGCGCCCCTGTTCTCCCCTGAGGGGCCACAGAGTTCAGAACCGACAGCCGGGACCAGGAGTGTACGCAGTGGGCTTTTCCAGTTCGACGTAACCGAAATAATCGAGCGTTTTACCCCCCCGCCCCCAGCAAGCCAGCCCTGTGCAGCTGCTCCCGGCCCCAGCCCGGTGGGCGTCCTGCGCACACGGTCACCCTTCCCCTCTGCTGCTCCTTCGCAGGTCATCCACATCACGGGCCGCCTGCGCATCCGCCTGTCCCTGACCCACGGGCGGACGGTGCCCAATCAGATCATGGGAATGGTGGTGGTGGCCCATGCCCTGCCTCCGCCAACAATCAACGAAGTCCGGATCGACTGCCAGATGTTCGTCACCCGCGTGAACATGGACCTCAATATTGTTTACTGTGAAAATAGGTGAGGAGCCCGCAGGCGGTGGATTGACCTCTCTGTTAACTGCAGGCTCCTCCTGCCAGATACTTTCAGTTGCCGAGTCCTCTCGTAGGGGGGAGGGGTTCTTACTGTTCATTTTATAAGCTAAGCCCCTACGAGCCCCTCGCACTGTGTACTCATGAAGGCCAGTACAAGGCATTGGCTGTTTGTGATTGGCATCTCTGTGAACTGTTCAGTCCCATATTCCATCATCCTATATATTGTTTCCTTTTATCCTTTATCTGCATTTTATTATTGAATAACAGAATAGAAGGACACCATGTAAGATATAAGGTCATTACTTCGTCACAGGCTATTACAAGTAAATACAAATATAAATTAAACTCTGGTGAGCTAATATTAAAACTAAACCCTCGTTTTCACAAAGTACAGCAGAAATGTTGGGTGACACTAAATTACACATTGTAAACTCAGTAAAACAAGAAGTCTTTTAAACAGTCTTTGAAAATGTCAGCATCTACGGAATCCCTAATGGATTCTGGCAGCAAGTTCCACAGCCTGGTCTTCAGCACAGTAAGACGGCCTGCATCAGCAGATCTAAGGTCAAGAGTTTGCCTAAGCTCATATCTCAAGGCCTTAAGATAATCTTGAGCTAGAGCATTCAGTGACCAACTTCATTTTGCCACTAAGTTCATTCTGTAACTCCTGATTCACTGCTGGCATCCCCATAAGGATTTAGATATTCACTGAGCTGAACTTTACTGAACAGATCTAAAACCTTTAATATTTGAAAATATATTTTATATTTGAATAACAGTGACCCCAGTCGGCAAGGTATTTCAGGCATGCTGCATTCTTTTGTAGAAGCAAATCATTCAGACAGGTTCATGTAAAAACTCCACAAAGGGTTAACTGCAGTTCATGGAGATGCTTTGCTTTCAGGCTTTTGAGGTCATCAGCATGTTCATCCTTTGTGTATTCAGATCTCATTTTTAATTCCACTGCAGCAAGATGTTCTGCTTGGTGGGATTGTTCCCTTAAAAGTTTTTTGTCTGAATTGCATGAACCTTCTCCAGCACTGCACACTCAAAAAACAACATAGCATTGTTTTTTATTTGGCATGGATCTCAGTCCAACAGAGAAGCATGATTTTCTATTTTTCTGGAGTCCTTATTGAAATGCCTTATTCCTATCAAACATAACTGGTTATCACAAATGTAAAATAGGCTTTTTTTCATGCAAACTGGAAAGAAAGCTTGCATCAGTTTTGCTGCATGTTTAAAAACAGCAGGGAAATGAGCCACTATCTGGCAGAGATCTCTTAATTCGGGCATTTTCAGGGCTTTGTCAATAGCAGCATTGATCAGAAGTGCTACACAGGGAACATGCTGTAGCTTTGGAAACACTGCAGTTAAGTCTTTTGCCAGCCTCTGCATGTAATGTGCCTGTGCCATCACCACAGCGAGCAAATTCCCCCTTTTCACACTATACTGATCCAGAGCTTCCTGTACAGTTAGAAACGGAGGAATGCTGCATTGCAGGCCAGTAAGACATCACTTTGCAATAAGAATGATGATAATTGCATTTGAAGAGGGTCCTAAAAAATCTGCCAGAATGGTCACAGCTGGTTGGCCTGTAATTTTAGGTGTTTCATCCACAATCAAAGAAAAGTCGCAGCCTTCCACTTCAGTCTTGTTCCACATGATGCTTGAAAGCTTTGGGAAGGTATTAATGCATCACCTGGTCGAGCTCCAGGCAGGTTCTAGATGCAAGTACATGTTTGTGGAATAATTGTTGAATAATTGTTTCTTGGTTTCCAAACTCCATTTTCCATCATCTACACACTACAAGTTTGGTGTCGTCTTTGCATTATTTTTTTTTGCACTTTTAACCTCCATTTCCGCTGTGAATTGATTTACTGGCTTTTAGTTCCCACCCACACTTTTATTACTTTAAATAGAGCCAATCTCCCACCGCTGTAGCCCAGCAGTGCCCATTTAAAGAGGACATTGTGATGACGATCAGTCAGGCTACTTGTTTAAGTATCCTAACTGTTACTGCGAACAGTGCAGTAAGCACAGTTACATTTTAGACTTTAAACTTTAGACGTTTTAAAAAGGCTGTGTGCAATGTGAGATTGAAGTGTCATCACGAGAAGGGAGGAGGTATTATGAATACCAAGGGCCAATAAACAATTTGATTATGGATAAACCGTAATGTTTAGGACCCAGCAGTCATTAAAGAGGGTTGTAGTCACTATGTATATTTAAAACATTACTGTTTAATATAATGACATTTTATAAAATTTTATTATTGACATTTTTATTGCTAAACAGTTCTGGACTTTAAAGATGCCTTTCTCATCTTTAAATTGTGATGTTTATCAAGAGATACCGATTTAAATCTTAAGCCGGCAGACCTAATTATATGAAAATTAGAAGTCAAGTTTTATTGTATCCCCCATGTGGATTTCAAAGTATAAAGCCTTGTGTTCATTCATTTAAAGTACACTGATTGGTATAATTCAGGTGGGTAGCTGCGTCAGCATGCGTAGGCTGCAAAGGAACAAGTAATAGGTTTATTCCATGCTGAAAAGAGAAGAAAACACGTTTCGGCCGTGGAGCCTTCTTCAGGTGTGAGTCATGGTGTTCTTCATGTTAAAATGTATACAACCACTGATTGGTTTGTGTATATTTTAACATGAGTATTTATTAAAAGAGGGTTGTGTGATTTCAAAGCATGCTCCTCCAAAGAAAGGGTTTGTTGATATTCTATTTGTGTTTTAATTCAGCTCTGCACTTTTAACATCCGAGTTTTACTTTCAGGTTTATTTCATGCATGGAAGTGCTAACTACCAAAGCTCACATTTGCGGTTATCCCATTAAAGCCAACCTGTATCCTTGATCTGAGAGGTCATGATTGTACTGAACTCCTGCTTTCCAGGAGATCACTCATAGGCAGTGATTCCCAGGGATTCCGCAAGCTTCCTCTGTCTTCAGTCCCCTGACTGGTCAGTTCCCGGTAAGGGGATTTTAAAAATCACAAATTGTTTTTGGTTATGAATTACACTCTCACTCTTCCTGTTACAGGATTAGTGACTACATGGATCTGACTCCGGTAGACATTGTGGGGAAGAGATGCTATCACTTCATCCATGCTGAAGATGTGGAAGGAATCAGACACAGCCATTTAGACTGTGAGTGCAGCAATGTATTTCTACTGACTGTTTCTGGGAAAGCTTTCTTTACCCCCATGTCTTGATTAACTGTATTGTTTTTTTTTTTAAACAAAACTCTTATTACACCCTAGGACCTGATCTTGTTGAAAGAGTGAAAGAGTGGTGCTACATGTGAAAAGCAAATTTAATAGGCTGCCAAAGAGAGATCTGAAGAGCATCAAATATTAAAGCCCTACTTGTAGCAGTTACAATATTCCCATGAATTCGCCGTTCTGAAAGATGAAAAATCTACAGGACTGTTAACTCTTTGCTGATTGGATTTGCAGATCTTTGACAGGCCTCTGCTGACCTCAAATATATGTTTTTTATACTTGGGCACCAATTTCAATATCTGAACAGGGCTGAATATAACTGCATGGTGATTAAAACTGAATATACGGTTTTGTGATGTAGGAATCCTTATTGTCTATTTAAAGATTTCCAGTGCTCTAAAATATAAAAATATAAATATTTTAGCCTATAGAATTTGTGTTTTACGGATGTACAGTAGTTTATTCTTAGTTGAACTCTGAATTACATATATGTTGGTGCTACAGGAATCTTAAAAGTTGGGCAGTAACAGGAGGTTTTGCTCTGGTCGTAGTACTAAAGTAAACCATTATAAATTTCAGTTTATGAGGTGTTTGTTGTAAAGAAAGATGTCCTTAGGGCACTGGAGAATTTTGCAATCTGATTAGATATTGGAGTCCAACTGAATTATAAAGCAATTACTGCAGTGCATTGCTGTTCTTTCACCTTAGAAAGTCAGGACATTAGGTCCATTAGCCCTTGATTTAATGCAATTAAAACTATTCACATGACATACTGATATTTCAGAGGAAATAAATAAGCAAATATTTACCAATAAACACTTTATATGTGTACTGGTAGAATGATGGACAGCTAGTTGTAACAGGAGATGAAGTGCATAACATTAGGATAACTCAAAAAAAGAAGGCAATTTAAAAAAAAAGGAAAGACATTGTTTCCATTCACATATGGAGTCACATCTAGACTAGTGCACAGTTGTCATAAATGTATACACATTTATAATATGGAATACATCTTAAAAATGATCTATTTGGAATAATCCAAGATTAAATAAAAACAATTGTTTTTATTGAATGGCATCAGTCCCTGTGGTTTTAGACACTAGTCCTTTTCATCGATATCTGTTCATGGAGTTTCTTAAGCAACAAGAGTCAAATCCCCAGTAATGCCCTGTACATTTTGAAAAACTGAAAGGCTTTACTTCCTTGTACTTTGTTATTCATGTGTGAATATACATTCAGATTTTGTCCCCTCCTAATTTCTTCACCATGTACGAACTGAACTAACAATGCTGCAGTCTCTATATTATCCTGCACTTCAGTCATCAGCGGTGTTGTTTTTGTGCTAAAACGCAGCAGCAAACTCAAACCTTTCAGTGCGGAGGGGCGACAGTGCATCACAATTAGGGTTCCCAGCTATCCTGTATTATATGGGACAGCCCGTATTTTCATCAAAATCCCTTTTTGATGGATCCCTTTTGTCCTGCATTTCAACTTGGCAGAGCTGTGCATTTTATTATTCCATACGCAAGCATGAATAATTAATATGCGTGAATCGAACTAGTGGCTCACTTTGACCGCAGCGCTGTTCCAGTGTTACAGTGTTGCAGCCAGTGGGAGGTTGCTGGGAACCATCTGGGCATTGCCCTGGACTCAATGGGAGGACTTTTAGCTTTGGTTGCAAAACGAATGTGACTCCAGGAGCTTCGAAATGCTCACATGCCCAAACATAGAAAAAAATGAAAGCCTATGTTGCTGTAGAAGAAAATACAGAGAGTCATCATTAAGCTTGACTTATGCACAGAACTGTACAGATTTCTTCAGGGCCACAGAGCAGGATAAGTAGATGAGTGCTGCACAAAACCTTCCTGGCATACCTAACCTAGAATAAGTACTGTGCTATGGAAGGAAGACAATTACTGCACAATAGCTTTCAATAATGTTACTACATTGTTTCCCTAATATATAAATAATGTGAACTCAGATACTTGAGAGGAGATGTAGTGTGGTGATTCTACAAAAACTATTTGTAAGCAAAATGTCAACAAGCCTAGCTACAATATTAAATAACATTTTATAAGCCACAGCAGCTTTCACAGGACATGAGCTTTAGAACTGCCAGAGACAGAGAAATTTAGAGAATTGATCCAGACAACAAGAAAATTGTGATAGAGTACTTAAAATAGTATCCTGCTATGTAGTGTATTTTTGTCAGGGCCAATACAGGGGCCTTTTCTAGGTTTCCATATTATTGTTGACTTGAAACACGATGTACAGGTAAACAAAGAACCCTGCATCTCCTATTTTTTGTGCAGAATATTTGTTTTTGTAGAACGCACAAGCCTGAAGCTTCGCTTTAGAAAATCTGCAGGTAAACCATTCAGAAAGCAGTGCCCAATTCCAAAAATCCATGTGCTGTAAATTCTGTCTAGAAATTATTCCGAAACCCATTACCTGGGCTTTATTCATTCTTACTTCATTTTATTAAAATGGGTGACCGCAGAGCTCAAACGCAACATCCACACCTCAATAGCAAGCGCTTCCCTTGCTCAGGCCCGTAATAAAATTATTTAGAACATTCCAGAACGTTTTGACTACCTGTTTGTTTCATAAAAGGGTTGGCTTCACTGTAATATCGCAGTTGACACCAAGGACTGTTCTGTAGAGCCATTTCCTGGGCACAAATACTTGTTTTTATATTTGTTCCGTAACCCTGAAGAGTGCTTGTCTGGTTTGGGTAAAGGGAATATGAAAGGTAGACACCATTATGGATGGGATCCAAGTGATTAAAACAAACTGAAGGACGGGTTGCTGTTTCGAGAGTGAGGCCACCCTACAGGCATGCCTCAGGCCTGAGGGGAAGAACCGCAGATTAAAGAGACGGTATTCCTTTTAATGGTTCCAAAGGCAGGAGAGATTTAAAAAAAACGGTGGAAGGGGCTTCATTAGCTGTAAATCAATAAGAGTGCGCAGCTCGTGATTGATTTAATTGCAAGTAGGCAAAAGGGGTTAAAAAATACGGCTTACCTATGAAGGCGGGTGAAAATGCACTGCAGATCGGGGAATGTGCATGTAGAGGGTACAGCCAGGTAGGGTCTGGCGAGAGAACGAGTGAAAAGACGAAGCACTGAAAGTGGAGCTCCGAAGAACAGGGGCTGGAGAGGTTAAGGCTTTTTTCAACACTGCATCCAGGTTGAAGGAATATAGCCAGGCCAGCATGTATTGAGCTGCTCTGGGATTTAACCCAAACAGCAGTGACTTTCAACTGCAGCACTCCTTCAGTATGTGCCACTGCTGCGTAGATCTCCGTAGAGAAAATAGCGTGCAAGTTCACTTTTGCTTTAAAACACAAATGATAAATTGGAACAGATAGCACTTTTGTATTACATTTGAAGTTTTTGTTGTCTGCATTAATGGTAAATTTGTGTATAGAAGTATGTTTCCCTACAGCTCATGTTTTTTTTTTAAATAATATAATCACTTATTCTCATCCAAAATGTTTTAGACAGGCACAGCAGGCAAATAAAAATGTGAAAAGTTGATTGTTGCATGCTTTTAGGATGAGAACAGAACTATAGTACTTTAAGAACTGTAACCAAATATCTGCATTCTCATAGCAGTTTCCTTTATTATTAAAATCCATTTTCAGTAGAAAAACCCTGCTTTTCTGATTTGATATTTGAGATTATAACTGGGATTGTAATCATCCACTTTTTCATTATGACACAGCCAATAATTGTTCTGTCATAAAGGGATGAGTAAACTAATATCGCACGGCTTTTTTGCTGTAATGTTCCCTTGTTATTTTTGGTAATATGGCAGATAGTATTTTTAATTACTGCTTTCCAAACGTCATGGGATTAGAAATGGTATTGAATTAGTCGTCTAGAGTTTGAATTTTCACAGTGGGCCAAGTGGCAATATTGTCTGTCAGAAGCAACATCAGTAAGACACTCTCATTGTTGAGTGCAGGTATGCCACTCCAGACCCCAGAGACTTCACTGCAAGCAATACAGGAGCCTTCAATAAAAATGACTAATCAAAACTAATGGTGTAGGCGGACCCCAAAAAGGATTGATTTTGCTACCATTCCCCTTGTTTACTTATTTGCACATTTATTTATATTCAGGCAACAAATGTAGAGAACTGGTCAGTTTTTTGTGATGTACGGGATAGTTTAAACAATGCCATTAGTCTGTAATAGATTTTAATTACTTGGCTTTTTATATATAAATCACTCTCCTCATAGAACGCTTCTATATAAAGCCCTATTTGTAGCTATAATTAAACCAAGAATATGAATTTACTACCTCTTTTAGATTCTGACTGTTTCTGTTTTAGAGCAAGATGATTAATGCAAATACATATTGGTTGAGATAACCATTTAGCAGCTAATTTAGCCAAATTTATTGCAGCAGTTAGAGGCTCTTCGTTTTAGCAAATGCAGACAAGGACATACTGTAACATCCACCAGCCTTGTGCAAACACACAGCGCCCTCTGCTGGCTGTAGGTGCTAATGGTGCCTTGAAAGCGAGATTCTGTAGTTCTGTAAATAGCAGTAATGACATCTATACGTTATATGATAGATAGATACTTTAATGATCCCGTGAGGGAAATTGCAGTGCAACAGCAGCTTAACACACACAACACAGCCACAGTGTAACGAATTATATAATAATAGTACAATACATACAATACAATACAAGAGTTACTCACAGTCCGGACACACAAGAACAAACTAGAACAGAACAGTACACAGAAAATCGTATCACACGTATGAATATAAATATAGATGTAACCATAGATATAAATATAAATATAATATGTGATATAAATATAATATGTGAGTCTTTCTGAAAAATTGTTTGTGTCAGAAATGAACATTTACCTGATTGACTACTTCTACTTATAGATAATGCTCCACTAACTGTGAACCAAAGCAGAAGAGAAGAATATGCTGGTGAAATAAAAAAAGAGAGCCCCCAGAACAATTATTTTATCATGTGCCTTGTACAGACGCTTTCATTGAAGGTCACCTTCTTGATTTTAAAACATGTGTGAGGTTGTGAGCTGTTCCGCGGACGTGTTCTGCCAGCTTCAGTTCCGAAACAGATGTCCAGTGTGACATGCCTGTTATCTGCCGCCGCCTCACGAGGTGTTGGTTTGAACTCTTCCAGTGATGAATAAGGGCCAGTGCGTGACCAAGTATTACAGATGGATCCAGAAAAACGGAGGGTACATCTGGATCCAGTCCAGCGCCACCATCGCCATCAACGCCAAGAATGCCAACGAGAAGAACATCATCTGGGTCAACTATGTGCTCAGGTGGGATGGTAACTCCTTTGCTCCTTCCGACGCCATTAAGCCAGGGGTTCCCAGCTCTGGTCCTGGTGACCCCCACACTTTGTTCCAGCCGAGCCCTCAGTCACACAACCTAGTCCTTTACTGACTTAATCAAGTTAAGATTCATCAGACGTATTCCCAGCTCTTAAACATGGTGCAGCTTTGGCCATTGTATTTCACAATGGAAGTAAAAGCCCAAACTTGTGATGGGGAAACGAAATGCAAACCTTCAGCTGAAGCAACGTCCTGGGTCGAGTAAGGCTTCAGTGATCTATTGAAGGGGGAGGGAATGAAAACCAGTGCTGCTCTGGGGGTTCATTCATTCAGTTTGCAGTATTGGCTGCCGTGGTTGTGATAAAGAAAAGCTTTGCAAATAATATTAACAGAACCAACATCCCTTGTGTAATTGATCTTGCCTTATCCCTTATCATTAAACTTATCGGAAATAGATCAAGAGTTTATTTCAGCCACGCAGAACCCCACTCTTCATTTCCTCTGCCTTGAGAAATGGGCCGGCTCTTTTTTCCTAAGATTGTCAAACGGAGAATCCTCCGGGGCAGCAAGCACTCATGTGGATTTGACTGCAAGTCTTGTTACAGAAAAGCCAAAACATTGTTTTGTACCGGTCCACTTGAAACGTGGGATTTTTAAGGTCCAAAATAAAGGTGTGTTGGGTATAGATAGATAAGACTTTATTGATCCCGAAGGTAAATTAATTAAGGAATATAGGGTATGAAGGAATATAGAGCAAGGGGACTGATGGATCTGGTTTGACCCTTTTTATCTTTCCTGTTTTTCGACCTCGCTGGTCGTGCAGTAACCCAGAGTACAAGGACACTCCGATGGACATCGCGCAGCTTCCCAACCTCCCAGAGAAGGCTTCCGAGTCCTCCGAGACCTCCGACTCCGACTCGGACTCCAAGGAGAACTCGGGTACGGTGGCGCCGCGGGGCTCCGCGCCCAGTGCTCTGCGCTGCCTGCCCGGGCCTCGCCGGCTCTCCCCGGGTGTCATTATTTGGCAGAAAAACAAAACGGCCCAATAAATAATTGAGGAGGATATGAATATCAAATCAGATTACTCCAAAACCTTAGTGATCGTACAGGAGGTCACCACTCTTTAGCTGAAATAGCATCAGTTATTAATAATACATTAAATAATGAGAGGGGGGGAAACAGAGAGGAATGCGGGATTATTGGGTTATGAATAAATGATCGTGTGGGTAAAGTGCCAAAGCTCTCCCCTGGGCTCGGCCATCCACTCCTGGCGCCTCTGCCAGCCGCGGACCTCACCAGCTGGCGCAGGACACAGGCTGCTCTCCCCAGACTGACCTCCCCCAGACGACCAGAGTCTGCCTTCTCCCCACGAAGACCAAGGTCACCGCAGCGCAGAGGGCCCCGAGACAATTAGCGATTGCGCCAGCAAGAAATTAAATATTAAGATGAATATCAGCGCTGCGGGGGAAAAGTCATGCTTCTTCCCACCCTGACAAAATCTGTACACATCCCGAACGACGCAAAAGCGTTTTAGTGGCCATTAAGAGTTGCGTTAATTATGAGACTCGCCCGGTAAGTAATGCCCCATGTTCTTTTAAAAAAATGAATACCCACCAGAAAATGATGAAACTTTGGTGCTGTAAGATTTAATTTAGAAAGTTAAATGTGACCGATAAATCCACTGATCGGATGAGCAAATCTGACTTTCTTCCATTCATTTTGACTGAGAAAAAAAAAATAATGTGGCATTGTGTCCTGGTTCCACATTTGTATAATAACGGATCAGACTTCATCCCTGAAGTTTCTGCCGTTTTTACTCATCCTTTCCTTTTCAAGGTTGAAAACAGTGTCCTCACTGGACATTTAATGTACATTTATTCCTCTTACTGTGGGATCCCGTCCACACCTACGCATTACATTGTTCGGTTTATCTGTTGCTCTCCTGTATCACAGGATCTGGTTTTGTGCGTTCTCGGGTGACGAAGCCTTTGCTCAGGCCTCGCAGTGCTCGCTGTGTCAGTCTTGTGCTCGGTAGCATTGAGAGCGTCTTCTCTCTCTCTCTCTCTCGCTTGCTGCAGAGGACAACGAGAACTCCAAGTCTGACGGGAAGGGCAACCAGTCGGAGAACAGCGAGGACCCCGAGTCGGACAGCAAGAAGCAGCCGGGGAACCCGTCGGACAACGAGATGAACTGCAACGAGGACGGCAACAGCTCCAGCAACCAGGAGAGCCAGGACAGCGAGGACAGCTTCGAGCCCTCGGACTACGAGAGCAGCAAGGCGGCGGAGGAGGACGGCTTCGGCGCGCTGGACTCCATGCACATCAAGGTGGAGCGGTACGCCGAGGGCGAGGCGGAGTTGCGGCTGCCGGGCCGCGAGTCGGTGACCTCGGACAGCGCCAAGGACTCGGACAGCGCAGGGGAGGCCAGCACCCCGTCTTCCAGCAAACACCAGAAGAGGAAGAAGAGGAGGAAAAAGCAAAAGGGAGGCAGCGTGACCAGACGCAGGCTGTCCAGCACGTCGAGCCCCAGCGGGCTGGACCCAGCCATAGCGGACCAGCCTCAGCTGCTCTCCTCACCAAACAGTGCCTCAGTGCTCAAAATCAAGACTGAAATCTCAGAGCCTATCAACTTTGACAATGACAGCAGTATCTGGAACTACCCTCCCAACCGGGAGATCTCAAGGAACGAATCCCCCTACAGTATGACCAAACCCCCCAGCTCCGATCACTTCCCCTCCCCGCAAGCCAGCAGCAGCAGTTTACAAGTCGCCATTCCCGACTCCGTGCTCACCCCCCCCGGGGCCGAGAGCTCCGGCAGCCGCAAGACTCAGTTCGGCGGCGGCGCCACGTCCGCCTCCAGCGCGGCCAGCCTGCCCCCGGTGTCCTCCTCAGACCCCCTCTCGCCCCCCCTCTCCGCCTCCCCGCGGGACAAGCAACAGGGAACTCCAAGCACTTCCAGCTCTTTGCTGTACGCCGGCGACCTGGAAGCTCTCCAGAGGTTACAGGCCGGCAACGTGGTGCTCCCTCTGGTTCACAGGGTAACCGGGACCCTCGCCGCCACCAGCACTGCTGCCCAGCGGGTCTACACCACCGGCACCATCCGCTACGCCCCGGCTGAAGTCACCTTAGCGATGCAGGGCAACCTGCTGCCCAACACCCACGCGGTTAACTTTGTGGACGTCAACAGCTCCGGTTTCGGGATCGACCCCAAGACTCCCATGGAGATGCTGTACCACCACGTCCACCGCCTCAACATGTCGGGACCGTTCGGGGCGGCCGTGAGTGCCGCCAGCCTGACCCAAATGCCTGCAGGGAATGTCTTCACGACGGCGGAGGGCCTGTTCTCCACCCTTCCATTTCCTGTCTATAGCAACGGAATTCACACCACGCAGACTCTGGAGCGGAAAGAAGACTAGAACAAAATACCGAGACCATATTACTGTGTTCACTGTCAAAGACTCTGAGGCATAAGACTGTGTTTGATTTGGGAAAAAAAAACTTAATTCTAGCACTTTGAATCTGAGCAAGTGAGCTCATGTTATGGAAATGAATGGTCCCCATGTCTTTCTCTCTCTCTGTGTATCTTTCATTATCTTTCTCTCTGTTGAACTAAAACAGATTATTCTTTATTGTAAAGAGTTAACTTTTTTGCCTTCAGAGAGTCAAGAATACCTGATGCCTGCTCTTTCGTCTTCTAAGATGTGCTTTTATTTTAAGTCTTTACATCTTTATGAAGATGTCTTCAGTTTGTCTTAAAGGTAATGGTTAAGATAATTTCAGTACATAAAACCTAGAGGTTTTTAATTCATAACTTGATGTGATCAAGGTTGAAGGAGACAAACAGAGAAAGTGTACCCTGCTTGAATAAGTTAAACCGAAGGGGATTTTGTTGCTGTTCCTCATTTGTGGAGAGCACTACAGAATTTATGCAGTGTTTCGTCTTTTTATATAACTCACAATTTGCTTACTTACAAACAACACATTTGAAGTATTTTGGCCCATGATTAGAATGTTGCTAACCTGTGCACAGAATGTCAAAAGAAAGTACAAAGTGCTTTTGAAACAGGTTATTAAGATATTTACATTTACATTTCCTCTTAAAAACATGGTGCTACCATTTAGTAACATTCAAACAACAGGCTGGAGTAGACGTCTTGTTGAAGAAGTATATATATGAATAAAAAATGGAAGATTTTATACTGGGTATCTAGTTTGTCACTGCAGCCTCTCCGTTAGAATAGATAAGGAACTCTTTCATTCATGTGCTGCAGGACAGGAAATTCTTACCTCCAAGCTAACAAAAATAGCCTCACATTAACCTTTCTCTTGGGTCAGTCAGCTGTTTTGAAGTGTACGAAAGCTCAATTAAATTGAGCTCAGGAACAGAACTTGAGCAGGTTTATTTTATTTTTCTCTTTAATGATAATCTCAGTATAACTGAGGCTAATTCGCAACATTAACTTTAAAATATTTTTTTTTACAAATATTTAACTTTAATCAATCACCGTTTAAATGTTTGGTTTTGGTCTCATTTTTTACATTGAGAATCCTTTATCTGTGACCTCTGGCTTTTAGCTTTCTTTTTTGCATTGATTTGACATTCAGAATTGGACGCATTGTGATAAAAAAAAAAATCACGGATTGGTCAATGAGACTGTAATAGGTACGTGCAATTCAAAACAAGAAGTCATGCGTTTTGGGAAAAAAAAAAAGTTCACATTCCTAGTTTTTTCTCTCTCTGTTGCCAAAAAGTAAATATCACGGTTCGGTGTTGAAAACACTGTGATTGTTGTTTTAAAAAAAAAAAAGAAAAATTCTAAAAAAATATATGATTCTTCCACTTCATCTTTTGGCAGCCGTTCATCAAAGGCGTCTATTAACAAAGTGAGATCCGTAATGTGTACAACGTGTAAGTGTCCTTGGCTGTCAGTCTCATTGCAATTTCAGTGTGTGTTACTATATGCAGTATATACGGAGCTGATGTAGCTGTTTTGTCCCTTGTCTTCTCTGTGCTTTATCTAGTCTGGGGGGCTAGTCCCACTCCTGCTGTCCTAGTGAAACAGTGATTCTTGGGGGTTAGTGGATTTTGTGTGGTGGCCTTCCTATGTAATGTCACCTTTTTTCTGCTTCCTCTTGTCTGTATTCTTTTGTTTCTGCTATTGCTTTGCTGTTGTGTAGTCTACAGACCTCGTTCTCTCAGAGATAAAAGACTCTTAACTAGTTCAAGGTTTCATGGAGCCATTTTTCCCCGCAGAGGAATTCTGGGTATGACTTCAGTTTCCTGCTTGCTACACATTTACACTTTAAATAAAAAAAAACAACAACAACAAGTAACGCTTAGATGTATGTAACAGACTGATACCATAAAGCCTCAGTTGTAAAAACATTCCCAGAGTCCCTTGTGCTTATCTTGTATGTATTGGGTGTATTTCATTGGTTTCCACTGAACCTGTTGAATTCAAGGACCCTGCAACACACTGGAAAAAATATCATGAATATTCTTTAAAGGCAAATACGATTTTAAAATTTCTTAATGAAATGAGACAAAACGTTTCACACTATAAATCTATTTTTATAGGTTTTTTGGATGCATGTTTACTAAGTTGACAGTTCGGTTTGCCCGATTTTGTTTGGTCCAGCAGCTTTGTCAGCATTAAGTGTTTTTAATGTTAGTCTGTCCAGCAAAGCGAAGGCAGGCAGATATCTGACATTTTGTTGGATCGGTCTTCTCCTTTACAAAGACGAGGACACAAGCAGCGAGCAGTCTCTGTGAAAGTGTGTTGTTTTGTTTTCTAACCCAGGTACTAAATCAATGCAAATAAACCTAACAGGGGCATTGGAAAGGATCCAGCAATTTAAGCCATCCACGGAAAGCAGGAGTTTAGTGTCCCTCTACAAGTGTCCTGGATTAATTGATTGTTGTGTTTTTGTACATAAAAAGGTGGGGCAGCTCAGGGGCAGCTCTAGACTAACACACTGTGGACAGCCCAGGAAATACACCCATATGTTACAACAGAACAGCAGAGGAGCTGTTTTAATGTTTCTGTGTTGTGTCAAAATAATTGCTGGTGATTTAAACTAACAAATAATCTCAGCTGCTGTCAAAATACATAGTGTTTAAAATTACAGTATGAAAAAAAAAACACTTCATTACCTGTGAAGACTGTGTCTGTGTTTTTAACTATTTCTTGTACAATTATACAGAATCTTTTATGAGGAAATTGGTGCCAAGTAGCTGAATAATGGGGAAAGGGATTCTCTTAGTATCAATGTTAACAGTGTTACAAATTCTAAATACAAAAAAATTAAAATATTAAAAAGAGAAAACTATGGTACATTTTATTTTTTTGGGTTTTAAAACTTATAACTAACTGAAGCTAACTTTTGAGTGCCTGGCTTATTTTTTAAAACATCTTTTTTTCATTGACCATTGGATAATGCTGCAATTCAGAAATGTACATACTTCATTTACAACAGGGTTATTTTATACTTTTGTAGATTCTCATCAGTTCAAAGAAACATGTCATACATGGTTGTCTTTATGTAACTCGATTTTCTATCATCCAACAGGTACCATATTCATAATAAACTTCTCTTGGATTCGTTACTATCTGGCATCATTTCTTTTGCATTCGATCATCATGAATGAGTCCCACACTGCCGATGAACTCCCAGTTAATTTTTTTTTGTTTATTCGTTTTGTTTTTTCAGTTTTTTCTTTCATTTTGAAATCTACCGTAATACAGCTGCTGTGCTTTAGAAACGTCAAAGAGCTGTTCTGCAGGTGGGTGCCTGCTTTCTCTCAAGTCTCACAAGAGGTCTCCTGGTCAGATGTGTAGAAGGAGATCGGAGAAGAAGGCATCGTTACCTGAGGGCTATGGGTCCACATCTCAGACAGACGCTGCTGTTTAACCCTTGAGCAAGCTGACTCTCCCAGATTGTTCAAGTACCGTGGCCGGCTGTTTTTATGAAATGTGTTCTCATTTCGTACATGGGTGCAAATGTATGTCGCTTTGGACAAAGGAGTCAGCCAAATAAGTTTTTATATTTATTTTATTATTAGTGAGAAAATAGGTATTTGACAGCAAACCTGGTTACTTTCTTCTGCCCAGGTAGAAAAAGAAAGTGGACTTGATCAACACATTTAAAAAGAAGTGAAACCAGATGAGTGTAGACAGGCTGTGTCATTAACCCTTAGAGGACACTGCAGTAATTAACAGTCCTTTAAATCTGTAATCTCCTGTGATAAAGGTGCTGTACGTGTACATATATATACTCGCAGGAGTCAAAGATAATTCCAATACACAGATGAAACAAAGTGAACTTATTCCAGAAATGAACATCCTCTGCACAGTAAGTCACTTCAACCTGTGGTCTCTTAGCTTTGAAAGGTGGCTGTAATAGCCCATGCATCTTTTATTCATGGCACTTTCAATTGTGAGAGGCCAGATTTTCAAAATCCCTGTAAATATCAGAAATACCGGACACCCTTTAGGCCATTCTTACATTTTCATGAATTGTTTATTCATACTTAATGCACAGAACTATAGTTTCAGTTTCAATCTGAATCCTTCTAGTGTTAAGAGTTTATTTTAAAAAGGCTATTGAACTATTTAAGTGGTTATTTAAGTTTTCAATACTTATCACATGTGGCTATTGTTCTTCAGTTTATTTAGGAGAAACGTTGTATTTAAATACATGCTTTGTAAATAGAAATGGGCATAATATGTGTAGAAAGGAAATGTAACAGAATAACGCTGTAGGGAAATTCCCATATGTTCACAGTGAAGTCTCCATCCATGCCTGACATTTGTGGCAGACCAGCTGTGGTTGAAGTGAGATTTATGTAAATATTCACTCTAAACTTTGCTTGGTTTTGTTTTAAAGTCTGAAGTGTATTCCGCATAGTACACAATAGCTTATTTAATCAAAGTGGTTTTATATGCTAGAAATCTGTCTATAATCTATACACAATTATATTACAGTTGTTTTCCAAGCAGAACATTACTGAGTTCATTTGTTTTGCATTATACACGTTCTTGGCCTTTTCTTACACTTGTGCTTTAGGATACACGTCATAAAACAGAAGAATAGTTTCTTGCAGCTATTGCTTTAAAAAAAAAATGTGATGTTAGTTTTAATTAGAGTGTCTCCTGATATTTAGGTTAACACGGAATGGGCCTGTTGTTTTGTTAAGCGAAGCACCGACATGGATGAAGAAGGTAACAATGTAGTGGAAAAAGTCTCTGGTCTGCGCCTAAAGACCGTAAGCAAACTACTGCATATTCTTAAATAAAAACAGCAGTCAAGGGCATCCTGACAATAGCACTGGCACAAACAGTTTAAATGCCATGAGTACCTATGACTTGGCAGTTGGCCCCAAGTACATGGTTTGTTTACAGTGCACTGTGATCCCATTTTCAAGGGGTCTGCTGGATGGATGCAGTATTGCACACAATCATTTTAACTCAGATTGTGAGACAATAATTCTATGCTTTAAAAATTCTAGTTTTAAACTAAAACTAGCGGTGTTACTAAAACCCCAATTATTTTAATTGGGCTCTAGTCTCCACTCCACTCTTTTCCCCTTGGGTCTAGGGCTTTGGTCCTGTAGGAGACCTCATCAAAAGACCAGCAGATCCCTGCAATCTTGTTGAATATAAATTATAACGTGCCATTTTAGAACTGGTTTCAGGACTCCTGCTCGTTGTACACAGCGCAAGAACGAGTGAAACATCATGATAATCCTCTTTGCAACCGCAGGTGACATTTAAAATGTAGTTTTACAGGGGATACTTATTTGAAGTGCTCCCAATTTATCTTCATCTCATAGATTTCTGACTGTAGCATCAATTTCGGAAAGAATATTATATTGTTTTATTGTTTGTGCCTCTTCCCCCGAAGTTTACAGGCAAACTCTTGTTGATTGTCCAGCACATTCTTTTCAGACAATGTCCCTCAACAATTCTAAACCAAGTCTCCTGTTTCCTTCTTTATCTCCAGCTCCAGGTGGAAACCAGCCCCAGCCAAGACCCCATCCCCAAAGCCTGTGTGATCCTGCCAGGCTAGCATTCTGACAAAGACCATGATCTAGACCTACTTAACTGCAAAGCTGAAATCCTAACCACACAGCTGTGCACGTGCAGGGGGGATTGTAGCACAGTTGTTCCCAGCCCTGATCCAAGAGGAGCACTATGTCTTCTGGTTTTTGCTCTAGCTGAGTTCATAATCGCAGGCTAATTGAGTTCAGTTTTACATCTGGGGCAGATCTGTAAATGCTTGCTTTGAGCTCTTAAAAGGTCAAAAGGGATTTTTAATTGGTATCAGAACTGGCCTCATTCAGGTGTGTCGCCTGTGATGTAACGAATTGAAGATCTGCTGAAGGGAGAATGGCTGATTGGGAGCATGTCTGACACGGTGTCATTCCCACCTGTGGCTGTACATCAATTTATAAACTGGTAAGGGCCGTGTGGTTCCAGCAAGCATGCTGAGAAGAGGCTGGCTGTAGCTATGTGCGTGTGCTAAATTTGTTTGAAACAGTATCCTTGAAATAATAGACAACTTAAATAAAAGTCTAAACAAGTAAGCAGATTAAGTCACCAATTAGCACTGGGGATTTAGTATTTCTTCCATCAAGAATAAATGGAATGGCAGCTATTCCAGGAGTAAAAACTACCTTGGAAGAAATGGCATGATCTTATAGCTGTAAATGCACAGTTCGATACAAAGAGAACAATAGGGATTTCAGATCACACAAAATCTAGATTTCCCTTGTGACCATTTGCTGTTAAGGATTATTCGTCATTGACTTGTTTCGTTCGTGCTCAGTGATCAGAACTTTTTTGAAGCACTTGAGCACTTACATTCACTGCTTAAACCACTAGAATGCAGAAACAGATTTAAGGAAGAGTTTTGTGAAAACTCATTAAAGTTACATCCTAAGCTCAGATAGGTTTCTTAGTATTTAGCGAGGTAAAATTCTCTTTTAAATTACAATTTCTTCAACAACAGGTAAAAATAACATTATAACATTAAGCATATCCATGGGCTACTGCCTTAATTAAAAAAAAAACATCTATAATAATCTGTACATTCAGATATTATTTTAGGAGTCAGATATTTTAATAATAATCTTGCTCTACATAATCAAGCTTAAAATGGGATTCCAACAATGAACATTTCTGATTTACAAAAAAACTAACTAATTAGTACAACTCCTAAGTATTTTATTTTTAATAATGTCAGTGGTTTTGAATAATTACATTCTCATAAAAGAGCTGAGAACACCTTACCTTGTCTTGTTTTGGTTTGGTTTCAGGGTTGGAAGTCTGAAGTCTGCAGCAGACGATTACCGCTAAACCCGAAGACCTTTATGTTGAAGAAAAGCAGGTAATTCTGGAGACAAATTTGCTGAAAGACAAAACTCAAATCAGAACTACAGTACAGAAATTAAGGCTTGGCAAAATCAATGGTTTAGAACATACTGAAGAAGAAAGAAGGGTATAAATATCAGCCAATCAGATGAGAAAAACGTTTGCAGTTAATGACAGAAAATGATCAGAGCTGTCAAGGAAACCCCTAAAACAACTGAAACCTCTAAAATACAGAGCTGAAGTACAAAGGCTACACTGCAAGATGTAAACCTCTCATCAAGCCCAAGATCAGAAAAGCTAGATTAGAGTTTTCTCCAAAATCCCCTACAAAGATGAGTCACACAGATTTTAGTATAAAGATTTGTGGACAGATCAGACTAAAACTATCCTTTACGAAAGTGATAAAAAGTTTAAAGTGTGAACCACAATATATATAAGACACATTATATATAAGACATACACAGGCCTATGTAGAGAGAGTAGAGCAGTTTATTGCCATATGTACATGTACACTGGAATTCTTAATCGTGCTGATTTCATGGAACATACACAGTACAACAGACAACACCACACCACGTAGACAGTACATTACAAACATGATAAATGTTGTGGGACAATAAATACACAGTGAGAAAAAACACAAGGTCGACCATGCTAAAAGTGCATAGTGTAGATGTGTATAGCAATATATATTCCTCTCTTTACTGTGGATCTCCAGGTATGCTGTTCAGATGAAGACTTTTTAACTTGAGGAAGAATCTCTGGCTTCCCGCAGACAGCCTCCTGTTTCATTTCAAACCCCTGTTTCTCCATTTTCACATTCTCAATCAGCTTCATCCACCAATTTAAATCCTCTTGTTTCCAGGTCTGACCCTGTCATTCATCCACTCACAGAAACTTAACCAGTACAACCCTCACCTACACCCTACAGTTTCCCATTCAAACCCCCGGTATCAGTCAATGCCATAAAATCTGCAGAAGCTGCATTGCTCTCTCCTCCTGCAGCTCCTAATATTGTAGACCCTGATGTTAAAACTGGACCCTGGCTAAGCTGCAAAGGACCCTCTATAATAATGGTATCCCATTTAAAAGAAATCCACCAAAGAAAGCTCTTTTTCCTCTTTAGACTTTAGAGACTATATCTCTAAAGTCTGTAACAAACAAGCTGCTGTCATTCAGCATACTTCTGCATCTGGTGATGATATCCTCCAGCATGCAGCAGGACACTAGTTTA